ACACACACACACACACACACACACACACACACACACACACACACACACAAAGTGGATTCTAGCTTCTGGGGTTGTCTAGGAAGTTGGGCTGAATCTCGTCTGCTGGGACAGGCTGATAAATTTATTGTGGCGAGAGGAAAACAACTGGGAGGTTGGTGTGTGTGACAGATTGCTCATGTGTGTGTCAGAGAGACAGAAGGAGGACATAGAAGAGACTACATCACTGTGTGTGCCAAACAAAAGAGGAGAATAATACCCTCGAACCTCAGCCAATTGCAATTTGAAAACCAAAGTCCCAAAGCTAGGTTGATAGCTAGCTACAATCACACACATACACACACGCACGCGCGTGCGCACACACACACACATACATCACAAGAGCTCTCTGCTCTAAGGCTCTTCTCTCTCTCTGATAGATCTTATGCAAGGTTTTGGGAGGCAAGATGTCCCAGGAAGGTGTGAATAAGTTGGAACATCACACCTTTGGTTTTGTGAAATTGGAAAACACTACCAGCTTTAAGGCTTAGCACCAGATCCTCTAATACCTTGACTTCATGGTGTGTTTATGAAATTGAAGTGACATATTTGTAATACAGTGCTGTAATTTATGTGTCCTCTGTCACAGGCTTAAAAGTTGGTACAGAGTAGTTTTGCCTTGATACAATACTGCTTAGTTTTATTTTCTCAGTGTCTGATTGGCCATCTTTTGTGACAGCACATACACTAATAAACAAACATATATAATCATATTTCCACAAACAGTGACCAGAGCCTTTATTTTCCCCTGCCACATAAGATAAAGGCCTTATAAGCCTCTACTTAAAGCTAAAATGTAATTAGTGGTAGGATTTTAATTTCTCCCTGTTTAATCAGTGTAACTGATCATATGTTGGTCCAGGGTTTCTCTTTGATCTACTCTAATTTGCCCTCTTAAACTCGGGACATTATAGTTTCAAATGTAAAGCCCTCCAGTAGTTTAGTGAGGCATCTCCAGATTGGTACACTCAGATGGGAGTAATGATGACAAAGAAAAATAAATCAGAATGAAGGAACGAGATGCCACCACTGTGCCAGTGTGAACACAGCACAGCACGATTACATTGCTGAAATGATTTAATTAGAAGCTGTTTAAGGCATCTTAGCTGGTAACCCTGACCCTAATGAAAACGTTTTGGGTGTGTTTAAGTTAAAATGATTGCTTTCATTGGTCCCTGGTTGCCAAGACTTCTGACAA